TGGTGCCGCGTAACGGGGTGAGCTCCCGTGACTTGTCCCAGCTTCTGCCAACCTAGCAGTTCGAAAGCAGGTAAAAAATGCAAGTAGAAAAATAGGGACCACCTTTGGTGAGAAGGTAACAGCGTTCCGTGCATCTTTGGCGTTGAGTCATTCTGGCCACATGACCACAGAGACGTCTTCGGACAGCGCTGGCTCTTCGGCTTTGAAACGGAGATGAGCACCGCCCCCTAGAATTGGGAACGACTAGTACAGGGGTCTGCAACCTTAAACATTCAAAGAGCCATTTGGACCCGTCTACCACAGAAAAGAAAACACCGGGAGCCACAAAAACTTACCCATTCCTGACTATTTCCGGAGCGGCCACAAAACTAGCATATGTAGTTGAATTAAACATTCTGTTTTCTTCTGAAACTTTTCTTTTCTTGGATTTATCCATGATTGGCCTACCGGGGATTGAAAAGCTCAATAAATCATGTGCCGGCAGGTATTGCACATTGACAGTTGTGACGCATATTTTGAGTGACAGGGAGCCGCAGCAGAGGGGTGAAAAAGCCACCTGCGGCTCCAGAGCCGCAGGTTGCTGACCCCCGGACTAGCACTTATGTTTTACTACTGGTTCTATAGAACCGGTGTGAACTGGGGGCAACCCACCACTGGTGCGAGGGGAACCTAGCGCAGGGGTGGGCAACAATGGCCTCTTTACGACCTGTGGACTTCAACTTCCAGAATTCCTGAGATGGCGCAATCATGGCAATTCCTGGGCATGGCTGGGATAGGAATTCTGGGAGCTGAAGTCCACAGGTTGTAAAGGAGCATAATGGCCCACCCCTGTTCTAGAACGATGGATGTACCAATCAAATATGCTTCCAGGTCTCTCCCAATGGGTCTCTATACATGACATTGGCTTCCACTTTTGAAGGCAGTGCAAAATCCCACATGCCCCCTTGCACACATCCTAGGCTGGATGGGAGAACGCTAAACATCTCTGTCACAATTTCCTCCAATAGTTTCCCGCAAACAGACTCAGGAAGCAAGCGTAGAAATCATAAAAACGTTGGGACATTGAGCAAGGGTAGCCAGTCGAACGAACAGGCTGAAAAATAGCTTCTATCCATGTGCTGTCAGACTTCTGAATGCAACACACCATAACAACTTAGTATGATAGACTTGCAACATGTCTACACTGGTGTAATATAATGTAATGTTATGCACATGTATGTATAAAAAGGATTGTGTGTCTCTTAGTATGATCTATTGCAGGGGGCTCCAACCTTGGCAATTTTAAGACTTGTGAACTTGGGAGTTGAAGTCCACAAGTCTTAAAGTTGCCAAGGTTGGAGGTCCCTGATCTAGCGTTTTTTTATCTTTCTTCTTCTTTCACTTTTTTTTTTAATTTGATTTATATGCCGCCCTTCTCCGAAGACTCAAGGCGGCTTACAATGTGCTCAGCAATAGCCTTCATCCTTTTGTATATTTATACAAAGTCAGCTTATTGCCCCCATAACTGGGTCCTCAATTTACCTACCTTAGAAAGGATGGAAGGCTGATTCAACCTTGAGCCTTGGCGAGATTCGAACCCTGCAGTAATTGCAGGCAGCTGGTCTTAATAACCAGCTTAATAACAAGGTGCCTTAAACCCCTGTATTACCAAGGCACTTATGAGTCATTCAGATGTATATTGTGTTTGCGGGGGGGCTGCACTAAGGTGTTTTGGCCCGTCAGAGGCCTGTGCAGCTAGTAGCTGATTCCGACAGCGAGGAGGCTGGTGTGGTGCTGCGCCAGCAGCCTGAGCAGCTGGCACTCGAGTCGGACAGTGAGGAGGCTGGAGAAGATGTGGTGCCAGAGGCGGGGATTCAGCCAGGGCCTTCAGAACCTCCAGAAGCTCCTTTAAGTGAAGAGGACGAAGAGGAGGAGCCTCTTCTCGATGCACGGGCGCTCAGAGCTGCCAAAAGGCAGGAGTGGCTCCTCAGGAGGAGGTCTCCCGGAGAGAAAGGCTTGGGGCTAATTGGCCATTCCCTTAGCCTATTTAAGGAGGAACACCAACTGAAGCAATTTGCAGGGAACAACTTCGTTCACTGTCCTTCGCGTCTGGATCTTAGTTCTCTTATCAGTTTCCTGCAAATTGCTTCTGGGCTTTCTGCCAACCATAGTAAGATTACGATGATTTATTCTTTGGATTTTTGTAGGCTCTTAAGAAAATTAATTAACAGCCTTTGTTTGAAAAAAAAAACTGATTTAATTTAGTAAACTAAGGTTTGCACAGACTTTGTATGTGCTGCGTTCTTTGGGGTCTGTAGCTGGGGCAGAACATAAGGGAGGCTCATCCGATCTCATTGTACACATGCTGTGCATTGACGATAAAGGTTTGAATTTGAATAGAAAAGGGTAGTGTCAGAAAAGCGCGGTCTAATATAGAGTCAGGCGAAGGAAGGAAAGGGATGTGCAGAAACAAGGAAGTGGACGGAGACAGGTAGTCCTTGGTTTACAACTACAATGGAACCCAAAGTCTGTAGAGATTCTCTGTCTTCCAGGTCTCGGTTGTCCCAAAGGTGTTTTTTTTCAAGAGGCAACTGGACTTTCTTGTTTTTTTTCTTTGAAGACGTTTCGCTTCTCATCCAAGAAGCTTCTTCAGCTCTGATTGGATGGTGGGGAATGGAAGGATTTATATTCCTTGCAGACAGCTGGTCATTTGCATCCTTTTAAAGAGTCGTTGAGGCCACTATCGGTGTCCTTAGGGTCACCATCCTTGGAATGTGGTGGGAGAACGGATTTCCAAAGAAAAAAATTGCAGACTACAGGAACCATTAGCACCACTCAGGTGACCCTGAGGACACAGATAAACCTCCAGGTGGCCTCAACGACTCTCTAAAAGGATGCAAATGACCAGCTGTCTGCAAGGAGTATAAATCCTTCCATTCCCCACCATCCAGTCAGAGCTGAAGAAGCTTCTTGGAAGAGAAGCAAAACGTCTTCAAAGAAGAAACAAGGAAGTCCAGTTGCCTCCTGAAAAAGCAACTTTGGGACAGCGGAACCCAAAATGTCTGTTGCCGAGTGAGGCATTTGCTAAGTGAGTTTTGTCCCATTGGATGATTTTTCTTGCCACGGTTGTTAAGTGAATCACTGCGATTATGAAGTGTGTAAAATGGTTGTTAAGTGAATCTGGCTTCCCTCATGGACTTGGCTTGTTGCAAGGTCGCAAAAGGGGATTGCGTGACCCCGGGACACTGCAATCGTCATAAATGTGAGTCCGTTGCCAAGTGCCCGAATTTTGATCACGTGACCCTGGGGATGCTGCAATGGTCGTAGGTGTGAAAAACGGCCATAAGTCACTTTTTCCAGTGCTGTTGTAACTGTGGTGATTCGCTTAACGACTATGGCAAGAAAAGTCGTACAATGGGGCAAAACTCTCTTAACAAATGTTTCACTTAGCAACAGAAATTTTGGGCTCAATTGTGGTCGTACGTCGAGGACTACCTGTGTTAAGGCAAGCCGTCCTTTCATATCCTATAGCAAAATCACATTAAGAAACCAGAAAGGAATCCTGCCAAAACCACCTTAAATTCTCCGCTCTTCCAAGGCCATAAAATATGAAATGCATTATTTCCAAAGTGCCCCTTTTTCCTCAGCATTTTCTATTACTTCATATTAATTGGCTGCTGTCATGGGACTGACACTCCTAAAGCTGGATTGCATGACTAAAACTAGGGGAATCACTAGAGATCCTTTTATCAGGTCACGGATGATTTAAATCAGTGGGGACCTGAAAGTAAACATTTCAAGCGGCCTGCGTGGCCAAGGACATCCCGAGACTAAAAAAATAAGACTTAAAAATTATAGTAGTCGATGAACTCTTTTCTTCCTAAAGGGAACTGCCACAGAGCCGGGAAAATAGGACAAGCCTTTTCATTTTTCCTTGACAGAAATGTGAATAAATGTTGACTTCATTTACACTTGCAAAGAAAGGCATCCTCCTGTTGTGGCTTGTCGGTCACTGGCCTCTCCGACAGCCGAATCAGAGGAGGAGGAGGAGGAGATGTGGGAGTCGGGATCAGCATCAAGGCAACCTGAGAGCTCCAAGGGGGAAGAGGGAATGGAGGTGTCAGAGAGAGGGACAGAGGCGGAGCCTGGGCCGTCCGTCAGCCCTCAGATGGACAGTCAACAGCCCCCAGGTCTGGTGAGGAAGAGGAGGAACAGCTGGGCCCAGTGCCTGACACGTGCAGTGGTGGGTTCCTCCCGGTTCGGTCCGGTTCGGCCGAGCTGGTAGCGGTGACGATATGACGTCACCGAACCGATTCTTCCCACCCTCCCACCCCCCCATGTTATTCTTACCTTTTATTTGGTCCCACCCCCAATCTATTGCTGCCTCCTGAGTCCCAGCTGATGACTAGAGGGAAAAAAAACTGTTTAAACTCTTGCCGCGGGGCTTCAAAGGGCCGCCCTACAGCTGATCAGTGTTAAAAGCAAACAAATGAGTCGGGTCGTAAGTGCGAGGACTGGTCGTAAGTGCGAGGACCTTCCAGAAATGACTGACCAGCTAGCCACGCCCACCTAGTCACATGACCTCCAAGCCACACCCACAAAATAAGCCACGCCCACAGAACCGGTAGTAAAAAAATTCAGAACCCACCCCTGGACACGTGGATGCGCAGAAGGCAGAGGAGAGGAGAGCAGTGGAAATCTATGGGCTGGTCCTTGGGATGGAAGAGCCACCGCTGCTAGCGGAACGGTTTTAAAAATGTTAATGTTTACTGAAGTCACTTATTTTATTAAAAGGTGTACAGTGGTTCCCCCCCCTCTTTTAAACTGATACGAGAAGATCTCCCGCCACCAACAGCCCTGGCCAGGGATTCTCTTCTTGATCCTGCCTGCTGCACAGACGTTCGATTACTCGATGGACAGGATCAAGATTGAGGCTGGGATTAGACAGGTTAGGATACAGTACAACAGGACAATTGGGGGACAGACGTGATAAGATAAATTAGATACTAAAAACACACAGCCAGGTTTCCAGTAACATGTTTAAGAGAAATTCCTCAGAGCATTAAGTGAAGAAAAAAATCTCTGTTCAAACTCTTTAGGGCAATGTTTCTCAACCTTGGAAGCTTGAAGATGGGTGGACTTCAACTCCCAGAATTCAAGCTACCAAGGTTGAGAAACACTGCTTTAGGGATTCAACCACAGGTAGTCCTTGATTTACAACCATTCATTCAGTTGACCCTTTGAAATTACCCCGGCAGTGAAAAAGGCGAGTTATGACCGGAGGTGGGCTTCATATAATTTAACAACCGGTTCACCCCAATACCAAAGGTATAAGTGCGCGCGCTTGCACGCATATGTGTGGCTTAAAAAATGCAGCTACAGAGGACGGCATAGTGCCTGGGCAGGCGGACAGGCCCACTCACAGGTCACAACTATACTGAATCCCACTCCCTGGTTATGACCATTTTTCTCACTTATGACCTTTGCGGCATATCCCTGTGGTCTTTATCAAAATTCGGACGCTTGGGACACCTGGCTCACATTTATGACGGTTGGGTGTCCTGGGATCACGGGATCTTCTGAAACAGCGAAGTCAACGGGGAATCCGAATTTACTTAACAACCGTCTCGCTAACTTAATAACTGCATTGATTCGCTCAAGTAAGAACTCTGGGAGGAAAGGGCGTAAAAAAAACTGAAGATGGCCTCATATTTTTACACTTTAACCATCCCCAAGTATAGAAGAGTCTTCTCCCTTGCTTGTTTCAACGTCTTGCCCTCAGCATTGCTGGACGGACGATTTAAGAGGCTCCCGATAAGTGAGGGGTTATGTTGTGGCTCCGTTGCCTGAGCCTGGGCTATCGACAGATGCAGACTCTGAGAGTGAGGGAGAGGAGTTGGCAAGGCCTCCCTCTCCAGGACCCTCCTCTCTGGTAATGCCTCCGGAGGACACCGAAGGCCAAACGATAGGCTCAGAGCCAAGCACGTCCCCGCAGCCACAGGTGGACAGCGACAAAGAAGATAAGTGCTGGCTGGACCCTCGGCAGAGGCGCAGGGAGAAGCGTGCGCAGCAGAGGGGAAGGCATGCCAGAGATTAGCTGAGTCACTGGACCACACCCCACAGGGTATAAACGTGAGTGTGGTGGCCGGTTCAGTTTGTGACGAGCAAAAACTGGAAATAATCCATGATCTCTGCGTTACTGGACTTTGCCTGCTTTATCGGACTGCATTTGGATTAATCCTTGTATTGTTGAAACTCTGCCTGTTTTATGCTGGCAGTCTAATCTTTGTTTTGTGTGAGTAAAGTCTGAATTGGCAGCTAGCCACTGGGTTGCTGCCAGCTTTATCTTCAAAGAGTTTTGTCGTGTGGCTTGTTAACTCCGGGCCGTCTGTGGGGGTGCGTGTGGGGTACGGGGACAGAACAGGTTATGTTCCCTGTGATAGAGCTGAGGTTGAAACTGTGGAGCATGTTCTTTTATACTGTCCTATGTACAACGCTGGCGGGACTAAATTACTGTCTTTCCTAGAAACAGATCTCTCTGGATCCAATGCTAGTAATTGGACCTTATATTGTTTAGGGGATGGCTCCTCACACATTACTTTTCCGGTTTCTAAATTTTTTCTTAACTATTAGAGGAGAACGCTGTAATTCCTCTCAGCCAAGGCTTCTGGAACTGTTTATGATGTTACTTTCCCCACGTTCTTTTGCAATTATATTTGTATTTTGGTCTGTGACCGCAAATAAAAGTTATTATATAAGGGCGTAAAAATGGGGCGCAGCTCGCTGTCTTGCTTAGCCCTGGAAATTTGGGGCTCCTGCACGGTCATAAATCGAAGACTACCTTACAGCAGCTTTCGACGCTGTCCGTCCTAGAAACGTGAGATCGGGATGGAGAGAATGAGCTTTTGCAAAGCGCCTTTTGGGGAGGGAAATGGAGTTCCTCTCGGGTCCCGGAAGGCTGCCTGGCCTCCTTGGCCAAGAGAGGAAGAAAGAAAGAACAGCCAGAACGGATTTAACACTTTATTCAAGGGGAGAAAGGAGATGGCTGGCATTCCTCCCTCCCTCCCAGGCAGGCTGCTGCTCTTAGGGAGATTTCTGAGCGCTCAGAGGGACTGCTTTAAAAAAACAAGAACATCTGGGAAAAAAAGGAATTAGGAGAAGAAAAAAAAACCCAGAAGGAAACTTAAGGATTCCTGAATGGGAAAGTCTCTTAGGAAAGCAGGCTGGGGGGTGGGGGTGGGGTACTTTACTCCCCAGAACCCGAGACTGGTCCAATGCAAGATTGCGATGTGTGTGTGTGTGTGTGTGTTGTGTGGGGATCTTTTCAGTGGCACAAGGAGACCGCTGGTGCCAGCAACGTGGAGGATCCCAGGGCCGGTGTCATGCAGAACCAGCGCCCGGGCGACGGGCACAAGCAGGAGGGGATGGCAGCGACTCCACAATCCGAGTCTGCTGTGTTCTTCCAAACTACCAAAAAACGTGGACAAGCCGGGAATCTTGGCCCTTTTCCCCGGCCCGAGAAAACGGGCAACAGGACTTGCCCAGTTAAAACTATCTGCTGCCCGGAGCTGCCCCTTGCCTGGCAAAGTCCTCCGTTCACCTATTGACCTATTGCGGTGGGAGAGAAGACCCGGAGAGGCCATGCTGGGGATGGCTGGATTCGGAGAGTCGGACTCGGCCCGCGGTTCAGGGTTTCATGTTGCTCAGGCGGATATCTCGCTCGTGCTCAAACTGACGGTAATCCACTCTTTCCAGGAAGGCTCGTCTCTCCAGGTACCTGCGGGGAGGAAGCACGGAGTCAGCTCCCCACAGAGAAGAGGGCAGATTTCGGATGGGCTGGGAGGCAAAAAAGACGAAAGGAGGGCACTGCCCCTCCTACCTTTATTTCCCTTCCTTTTTAAAAAAAAAAAAAAATTAGATTTATATGCCGCCCTTCTCTGGAGACTCAGGGCAGCTTACAATGCGTTAAGCAATAGCCTTCATACTTTTGTATATTTTTATACAAAGTCAGCTTGTTGCCCCCACAAACTGGGTCCTCAATTTACCTACCTTAGAAAGGATGGAAGGCTGAGTCAACCTTGAGCCTGGTGAGATTCGAACTTGCAATAATTGCAGGCAGCTGAATGTTAATAACAGGCTTTTAGTCTGTTGAGCTATCCAGGCTCCTTCCTTCCTCCTGGCTTCCCTTGCACCAGGAATTCCTTGCCACATCTCCAAATTAAGCTTGCCAACTACGCCTTTCACCGTTTCAGTTGCCCATAACCAGAAAAACCTCACCTACCCCAAGGGAGCACGTGACGACAATACCAGCTGTTCTGACCTAGGCTTCCCCAGCAGCACGAAGCCGAGTCCTCGTCCCGATAAACTCCTTTTTATTTAATTTACAGTTAATTCCTCTCCAGCAAAGTCTTTCCTCTCCCACAGTCTTGCAAGATAGTTCACAATTACTGACCTTTATCAGGCTTGGAGAGTGGCCAGGCCGATATCTTTCAGATGCCACAATACTTAGCAAGAATGCAGGAATGAACTAATTGTCTCCTGCAAACTCCACTCCCCTTTCACTCCTCTTTTATTCCCTCTGGGAGGGTCCATTCATCGTCCACTTGTGGCCTTACTCCTGAGTTGACCCTTGTTCTTTAGCTGTTCCCTTCGTCTGGCAACTCTGCGCATGCTGGGAACAGGCTCCAGCTGTCCGTCTGCCTCACTGATGTCCGACTCCGAAGGCAGCTGACAACTGTCAGACGGCCCTGGCCCCCTCTCTGCCTCCGACGCAGAGCCCTCATCAGAGCCTTCCCCAGACTCCAGGACTGGCCCATGTTCCTCCCCAACCTTCTCACTGTCCGAATCTGCTGCCAGAGCCGCTGGCGGGCCACAACCACCACAGGCATCTTTATATATGGCTAGAAAAGACTGAGGATGCTTCTGGAAAGCTTCTACTTTCCAGAATATAACCTGGGTTGCCCAGGTGGTTATCAGATACAAATCACTTTTTCTACAATGGCGGTGAGGGCAAATGCCATGGAAGTCAATGCAGGCACTGAGCTGTGGTGGCGCAGTACTTGGAATGCAGTATTGCAAGCAAACTGCCCACCACCAGGAGTTCGAATCTGACCAAAGGCTCATAGTTGACTCAGCCTTCCATCCTCCTTGTCAAGTTTCGTGGCCGTCTCGAATAAAATGCATTTCAAACAAAATCTTTGAAGAAAAAACTCCTATTTATTGAGCACGACATCCTAACATGACTCCAAACTAAGCCAACACTGACTTCCTGACCCCAAACCTTCCCTTTCCATTCCCCAATTCTCAGCATCCCATTGGCCCTCTTCCAAATCACTCTCCCCATATCTAGTACTTCAGCTCCCAGGAATGTCCCCCCTCCCATCTCATCTCGTAGGGGACATTATCTTCAGGGAAAATAAGTAGGTGAGAAGTCAAGCGTCCTCTTGCCAGCTGCCCCCTCTTCTCCTTCTTATGTCAGCACTAGAGTAAATGCAGGCTGAAGTGCTGACACTCCTGTGGTCGGTAAAATAAGGAGCCAGATTGTTGGGGATAATATACTGACATTGTAAACCACCCAGAGAGTGCTGTAAAACATTATGGAGCGGTATATAAATCTAAGCGGTGTTGTTTTATGGTCTTGGGGGAAGAGCTTTGTAAGGCTCCCTGCACCCCGAAACTGAAGGCGTTCCAGAGATTTGTCCCTTATTAGGCTAGAAGCGTAAGAGATGACCAGGCTGGGCCCGAGGGAGGGATCAAGCATGTCATCAGTCTGGAGTCCCTTCGGGCCCACAAGAGATCTAAGCCCAGCCTACCTTGAATTCTGTTGATTCTTATCTACCACCAATTTGTTCTGACCGTTAGTAGTTCAGATCCTTGTAGAGAGCTGACGTGGAATAAACTTGTACTCATTTGAACAACCCTGGTTCCTAATTTATTGCACCTGACAAGAACATTACCGTACATGCCACCACGATAAGGCCTGGGATTCATGTTCCTCTTTTGCCATTCTGGAACATCAAAATCAGGCCACAGAAAGGCTATTTTACCCGAAACAGCCAAACTATTTTTTGCGCACGGTCACTCAAGCCCTGGTCACCTCCCGGCTGGACTATTGTAATGCTCTCTACATGGGGCTCCCCTTGAAGAGCACTTGGAGGCTCCAACTGGTCCAGAATGCGGCCTGGGTACCTTCGAGACTGACTTCTGCCACCAGTAGCCTCCCACTGGCCAGTCCGCTCCCACAGAGAGGGGCTCCTCAGGGTGCCATCGGCCAAGGCATGTAGGCTGGCGACACCCAGGGGGAGGGCCTTCTCTGTGGGAGCCCCAGCCCTGTGGAATGAACTGCCCCCGGAATTGCGCAAGATCTCCGACCTCTGTGTATTTCGCTGTGCCCTTAAGACCCTGCTGTTCCGCCAGGCCGGGCTATCAAAGTAAATGATTTTAAATTGGGTGTTTTAAATTTTTGGGTTTTAATTCAGGCTGAAATTATTTAATAATTTTAATTATTTTTAATTGATATCCATATATTTTTGTGTTTTAATAGGTTGTACACCGCCCTGAGTACTTTGGGAGAAGGGTGGTATAGAAATAAAATTATTATTATTATTATTATTATTATTATTATTATTATTATTATTATTATTATTATTATTATTTATTGGTTAATCTTTAGTGAGATTCACAGCCTTTGAGGCTGGTTAATAGCTCAGCAGCTCGAGTCCTAACCAAGGATCTAGGAACTGTTAAGGTATCGTCGGAGGATGTAAGCTGTTCCGAGTAAGGTGGTTTTTTGTAGAGTCAAAATGTTCAAGTCCGGCAAATTTAGAATTTCTAAATATCGGGGTAGCCCTTTGGGTATTGCTCCGAGGGCTCCAATTACAATCGGGACAACACACGATTTCTTTTTCCACAGTCGCTCAACTTCAATTTGTAAGTCCCGGTACTTTGTGATTTTTTCTTGCTGCTTATCTTCAATTCGTGCATCACCAGGTATTGCAATGTCAATGAACCATACTTTTTTCTTTCAACTATTGTTATGTCAGGTGTGTTGTGGACCAAGTGCCTGTCAGTCTGAATCCTAAAGTCCCACAAGATCTTGAGTTTCTCATTCTCTAAAACTTTCTCAACCTGATGTTCCCAGTGGTTTTTGCTGTACTCAAATCCAAACTTCTGGCACAATTTCCAGTGAATGATTTTAGCAACACGGTCATGGCGTTGTAGGTAGTCAGTTTGTGAAATTTTGCTGCACCCACTGATCAGGTGGTCAACTGTCTCTTCTTTTTCATTGCAGAGGCGGCATTTGCTGTTGGTGGTAACATGTTGAATTTTTGCCTTCATACAGTTTGTGGCTAGGGCTTGTTCTTGAGCTGCCAAAATAAAGCTTTCTGTTTCTTTTTTCAGTACTCCTGATCTTAACCAGTTCCAAGTTAGTTTCTGGTCAGCTTTGCCTTCAATACTTTTCAAGTATTGGCCATGCAGAGCTTTGTGTTTCCAATTTTCAGCTCGCTGCTCAATTACTTCTTTCTTATATTCTGCTTTTGTTTTAGTTGTCTTTAAAAGGCCTCCTTTATTTACTTCCTTAATCATTGGTTCTTCACTTTTCTGGATGTAACCATTCAAGCTGCATTTTTCTTCTTCCACAGTCTGCTTTACTTGTAGGAGTCCTCGACCACCCTCTGCTCTTGGTAAATATAATCGATCATTATTATTATTATTATTATTATTATTATTATTATTATTATTATTGTTATTGTTATTGTTATTGTTATTATTATTATTCAACTCTGACGCTGGCCTGGAGGCTTCAGTGTTGCCACAATGGTGCTGAGGGATGGGGGGGAGGGAGAAATAGAGCAGGGGTGAAATGCTCCCGGATCAGACCGGATTGCCTGAACCGGTAGCGATTTTTTCCTGTGGTTTGGCGATCCGGTAGCGATCGCCGCCTGGGTGTCATTACTTCCTGGTTTTAACCAGGAAGTAATGTTTTTTTACCTTCTGTGCACGCGCAGAAGTTTTTGCGCATGCACAGGTGTGCGCGCACATGTGATGCGCATGCATGAGTAAAGCGAGAGTGCGCACGCGGAGCGTGTGCTTCCAAACCAGTAAGGAAGGTAAGTACATTTCACCCCTGGAATAGAGATAGTTGGGGTTTTGTAGCCAAAACAAAATAGTTTCCCCTGAGAACCAAGGACATTCCCACAAGTGGCTGGAGGGAGGAGGAGGAGGAGGAGGAGTGATGTTACCAAGCAACCAGACAGCACCTTGATTGGACCGTGGGACTGATTGTTTGGGAAAGGGGGAAAACTTTTACTTTTAATTAGGTGAAAACCGCGGGAACCTTTAGAGTCGGTTTTTACCAGTCTGTGCCAATATGATATATTCAATAAACATGTTCTGTGAGGAACCTGCTTGCCTCGGAGTTCTGTTTGCTATGGGTGTATTACTTGGAACCCTGACATTAAACCGACTCCAAGGAAAGTAGGTTCCTCATATACAGGTTGCGTCAGCTCAAGCAAAGGGTTAACAAAGCCATGATTTGTCCCAAATTCTACTTCTGCTTGCTAAAGCCAAACCCAAGTGGAATGCCTGCATCTTGGTCCCAGGAACCTGAGGAACTGGTGGGAACAGTGAGTGGAGCATCAAGGTTCATGAGATTTTTTTTAATCTCACGGACATTAAAAAAAAAAGGGGGAAAAAATAATGCTGCTTCTGGGAGCATGAGCAGCAAGTGTCACTCATCAAGCAGTTGCCAAGGGAACAGAACATTTTCCTTACCCTTCTTTCCCTCTGTTGTGGATGGCCAGCTCGTCACCGATGCCTTCTTCTTCTTTGAAGTGCTCCCAGTCCAGCTTGGACTTCTCCAGCGTGCTCATTTTCTGCTTTTTAGAGCCGATCTTCCCCAGAAGGCTGTTAATACTGCTAGGCCGCTTCACTCTGCCAAGGTAAAGTAGACGATAAAGACAACTTTGAGGTGTCTCCAACTGTTGGACAAGATGCCGCCCTGGCACTTCCGCAGAATGTCATCCCAGTTAGTTCATCACAACCCTCGTTTCCAGAGAGGAGGTGGGGAATTCCCAGTCTAGTGAAGAGAAGGAACAGGGGAGACACGAAAGCAGTCTTCCAATATTTGAGGGGTTGCCACAGAGAGGAGGGGGTCAAGTTATTCTCTGTGAATCTGTTAGATTAAGGGGTCTGGAGGGAAAATTTATTTATTTATTTATTTATTTATTTATTTATTTATTTATTTATTTATTATTAATTAATTAATTATATTTCTATACCGCCTTTCTCCCGTAGGACTCAAGGCGGTGTACAGTCAAGAAAATATAGATACACAAAACATCATAAATTGCTAATTAAAATTATTATTATAACATAGTTTGGCCCAATTAAATAGAACCTAAAATAAATAACATTTTAAAACATTCACACGTTCGTATGTTTAGATGCCTGTTGGAACATCAGGTCTTGAGGGCACGGCGGAAAGCACGGAGATCAGGATATTCCGTATCTCCGGGGGCAGTTCATTCCAAAGGGTTGGAGCCCCCACAGAGAAGGCCCTCTCCCTGGGAGTTGCCAGTCGGCATAATTTGACTGACGGTACCCTGAGTAGTCCCTCCCTGTGAGGACGAACTGGTCGGTGGGAGGCTATTGGTGGCAAAAGACGGTCTCGTAGGTACCCAGGTCCTAAGCCAGGGAGCGCTTTAAAGGTGATGACTAACACCTTGAATCGCACCCGGAAGACCACCGGGAGCCAGTGCAGCTCGCGTAGGAGAGGTGTTACATGGGCGCAACGAGCTGCGCCCATAATCACCCGCGCGGCTACGTTCTGGACCAGTTGGAGCCTCCGGGTGCTTTTCAAAAAAAATATATATGATGAACGGTTGACAGAACTAAGTACGTCTTGCCTATTAAAGAGAAGGACCAGGGGAGACAGGATAGCAGTCTTCCAATATTTTTGGGGCTGCTGCAGAGAGGAAGGGGGGGTCAACCTGTTTTCCAAAGCACCCAAAGGCCAGACAAGGAATAATGGATGGAAACTGAACAAGGAGAAATTCAACCTGGAAATAAGGAGACATTTCCTGACAGTGAGAACAATCAACCCATAGAACAGAAGTTGCCTTCGGAAGTTGTGGGAGCTTCATCACTGGAAGCTTTCAAGAGACTGGACTACCATCTGTCAGAAATGGTGTAAGGTCTCCTGAATGGACTGGGGGTTGGACTAGATGACCTACAAGCTCCCTTCCAACTCTGTTAATCTGAATCGATCTAAGATAATCACAGGACTGGAGACTAAAACATGAAAAACAGTTGGAAGAACTGGGCCTGGCTAGTCTAGTGAAGAGAAGGACCAGGGGAGACAGGATAGCAGTCTTCCAATATTTGAGGGGCTGCCACAGAGAGGAGGAAGGGGGTCAAGCTATTTTCCAAGGCACCTGAAGGCCAAATGAGGAACAATGGATGGAAACTGAACAAGGAGAGATTCAACCTGGAAATAAGGAGGAATTTTCTGACAGTGAGAACAATCAACCGATGGAACAGAAGTTGCCTTCGGAAGTTGTGGGAGCTTCATCACTTGAGACATTCAAGAAGAGACTGGGTTGCCATCTGTCAGAAATGGTGTAGGGTCTCCTGCTTGGGTGGGGGTTGGACTAGATGACCTACAAGGTCCCTTCCAACTCTGTTAATCTGTATCTGTAACTTCAATAATGAGGATGTCTTTAAGAGCCAATGCTGCATTGCGGCTCTAACTAGCTCAGCTCTACAACTGACAAGTGATTCAGCTTGAGCTGAAAATGCCAAGAGCATCCTGTGTCAGAGGCGAGCCAGGCACAAGCTCTGCCTGGTTTTTAAACCATGTTTATCCACATCTCTGGATGATTAACCAAGACAGGGATGAGATCCAGTTCTGAACGATTCTAAAGTGTGAATTGTGGTTCACATCATCAATTTTATGGCTACTGTATATAGAGAGAATACTCTAAATTTTATTTCATAATTCTCACTGCAAAGCAGAGGGTTATCGCAAGAAATTGGATTGTTCTAAATCAGAGGTCTTCAAACTTGGCAGCTTTAAGACTTGCGGACTTCAACTCCCAGAATTCTGGGAGTTGAAGTCCGCAAGTCTTAAAGCTGCCAAGTTTGAAGAACTCTGTTCTAAATGTTATCTAATTGTTAATTCCCACAGTCACATGGTCAAAATTCGGGTGCTTGCCAATTGTCTCACATTGATGACAACTTCCCAGTCTCCTGGGTCATGTGGTCGCCATTTGTAATCGTCCCAGCTGGCTTCCGACAGGCAAAATCAATGGGGGAAGCTGGATTCGCTTTAACGACTGCAGCGATTCGCTTAATGGTGGTGAAAAAGGTCATAAAATGGGGTATGGCTCACTTAACAACTGCCTTGCTTAGCAATGGAAATTCTGGACTTAGTTGTGGTCATACATCAAGGACACCAAAGCACCTGAAGGCAGGGACAAGAAGCAACGGATGGAACCTAATCAAGGAGAGAAGCAACCTAGAACGGAGGAGAAATTTCCTGACAGTTGAGAACAATTAACCAGTGGAACAACTGGCCTCCAGAAGTTGTGGGTGCTTCATCACTGGAGGTTTTTAAGAAGAGATTGGATAGCCATTTGTCTGGAATGGTAGAGGGTTTCCTGCTTGAGCAGAGGGTTGGACTAGAAGACCTCCAAGGTCCCTTCCAATTTATTTATTGGTTCGCTTTATATGCCGCCCTTCTCCAGAGACTCAGGGCGGCTTACAATGCATTAAGCAATAGCCTTCATACTTTTGTATATACCTGCTTAGTAGGGCTTTCGGCCCCCCTCAAGCAGTGTTCTTTTTTATACAAAGTCAGCTTATTGCCCCCACAATCCGGGTCCTCATTTTACCTACCTCGGAAGGATGGAAGGCTGAGTCAACCTTGAGCCTGGTGAGATTTGAACTTGCAGTAATTGCAGGCAGCTGGTGTTACTTAACAGTGCTTTAGTCTGCTGCACCAGCAAGGCAATTCTGTCATTCTGTTATTTTAACTTTCTATACTTAACGCTTCAGTGTTAAAATACTGCCCATCCACAGTATCCTCTGTGAAACAGCAGCAAGATTTTAAGCGACCCAAATTGCAGTATCCAATGTCATTCAACAAATGGATTCCTAATCCCACTGGAGAGGCTTAATATAAAAAGCGAAGCACTTGAAATGCACTAAAACCGGCTCCCCCCCTGCTTGCCAAATGCCACCGTCGCCAATTCTTCAGTGCAACTGGTGCAAGGAAGGGTAACCACGAAGGAGCCTGGCTCTTCCCTAGTGAGAAACCCCCATCCTCTAAGTGACAACGGTGTAGCCCTGAGGGCCCACTGCGGATCAATCACAAAATCCGTGAAGCGCAAAGTCGTGTCGTCCATTAGCAGAGGCTTTACATCTGTACAGTAGGTTTTGTTTTGCATTCCTGGGAGAACTTCCTTTCTATCGACCTAAGGCCATTCTGAAAATCTGGAAAGGAAATGACTGGCATTCTTAAGCAGATGAAATAAGACGGGAAGCCGCGACAAGCACATGCACCCCCAAAGTTCAAGATATTTTAATGAACCACTCAAGGGAAAAAAAAAAAAAAAAAGACAGACTTTTCCAAGCCTAGTTTTTCCAGTTTTCAGAACCAGAGACAAAGTTTAAAGGAATGAGCTCTGTGTTCAGATGAGAAGACTGGTTAAATGTTGATAAAAAAACATTTATTTCCTCGTTTCCTTCAAGTGCTAAATAGCAAGAGCACTTAGACTTGTATACCGCTTCACAGTGCTTCACAGCCCTCTCTAAGCGGTTTACAGAGTCAGCATTTGCCCCCAACAATCTGGGTCCTCATTTTACCCACCTCGGAAGGATGGAAGGCTGAGTCAACCTTGAGTCTGATGAGAATTGAACCTCTGGCAGTGGGCAGAGTCACCCTGCAATACTGCATTCTAACCACTGCAAAGGATGAATGGATGGATGGAAGAAAGGAAGGAAGGAAGGGCAATAGTAATACCACTTAGACTTATATTTCATTTCACAGGGCTTCACAGCCCTCTCTAAGCGGTTTACAGAGTCAGCCTCTTGTCCCCAACAATCTGGATCCTCATTTTACCCACCTCAGAAGGTCGGTAAATATAACACTTTTCCACTCGAAAATACAGGGAGGCCTTGATGGACAACCTTAATGGAGCCTGCCCATTACAGTTGCATCCTAATGGTTGTAAAACAGGTCGATCACACGACCAACTTGTTTGTGGAAGTCGTTAAGTGAACCCATGGTTTCCTATGGGTGCAGCTTTCCTGAAAACCGCAAATGCTGGTTTGGGGCAAAACGTCGTAAAATGTGATCGTGGGACAACTGCAAACAGCTGTAAATTCAGCCTGTTGCCAAATTCGGTCACGTGACTGCAGAGGGGGTGTGTGGGTTTGATTGTCAGAATTTCAAATCTGGGCCTGAAGTCCTCCCTTTCAGGGCAGTCGTAACTTCGAACGGTCTCTAAGTGACCGGTCGTAAATCGAGAACTTGTAATTATTATTATTTTTTGCCTAAAAAACCAGCTTCCTCCAACCTGTTGGACAATTGGGATTTACACCTCATGATGATGTGGTTTTATTGTCTTTGCCTCTGGAGGACGCAGGCCAAGGAAGGCTGACCTCATCTGAAAAGGAGGCGGATCAGATGCATCACACGGGATCTCAAAGAGATTCTTCTTGTCAGCCTGGCTGCCAAGTCCTTTCACTTGCCAGCCCTTCATCCCCACCCCCAGGATTTCTACTGCCTTCCCCCTTCCCCCTCTACCTCTGACAGAGAGATGCGTGTTTATTCTGAACTCACCAGGTGGAGTTCAGTGGGAGCCTTCCTAGGGGTGAAATGCTCCCGGTTTGGACCGGATCGCCCAATCCGGTAGCGATGGTGGCGGGTG